GGTCAGCATTCCTGACAATTATCATAAGAGCAGAGAAAGAGAGAGAGAGAAAGTGAATGTGATGGAGAAAGAGAGGAAAAATTCAAACAAGCAATCAAGGTATGCAGGAAAAAAAGATGGAAATGCTAAGACGGATAAGGGAAGTAGAAAGAACAGGAAAGTGTGGCACTTAGAAGCATTCCAGCTTTGTGCTTTTAGATGTTTTGTGCTGGTGGCAGTAACTTGAGCAGTTGTATTGCGTTTTTGTAAACGGTGCAGCATGCTCAAGCAACGGGGCTCAGTGTGCGTTCCCCATCCGCTCAGCTTTATCAGGTCCATATCACTGCCTGTAGCTGAAGGAATTTTGAGGAAAGTGAGGTCCTGGAACAAGGGGGAAAGTAGAGAAGCAGAGCCCCATGTGCTGGATTCCTGAACCCCCGACACACACACACACACACACACACACACACACAACCATTCCCTTGCCATAAGCCACTCAGACAGGGATCTGGTTTCATGGTCAATTTTATTACACATGGATGTAAGGGGCTCCTACAATTAGGGAGGGCTTCTTAACAGGGTCTTGCTTATCCATCTGCTTGTTAGCATGCTAGCTTGAACGTTTCGTTCTCCCAAATTTACATTCCTTCCCAACCTCCCCTTTTCTCCCTGTGTCCTTCCATTCCAATTCGAGCCTGCTTTCTCCACCACCATCTCCTCTGTCTTCCAGCACCGGCCACCATTCCTTTCTTCTTTGCTTTACGGCTCACATATGAGCTGTTAGGTTCGTAGTGTGCCTCCCTGTTCCGAACCATCTGGGATCGGCTTTTCAGAACCCCTCCAGCCCTTTGAGGAGATCCGGTTTCCACGAATGCTCACCCGCACCTCCCTCTTTCCTCACGTATATACACAAACACCTCCCTGTGGACCCCTTGACATCTTTGAGATTCCTTCCTCCTTGCCTTCCATTGTCCGTGTTTTTGAAGGCACGTCTGCGGATTGCGTGAAGTTCGGATGTACTGCCAAAGTAAATCCAGGAGGTATAGTGGCTCCTACTAATGTACGGTACATGATGTCATTGGCTAGATCATCGACAAGGGTCGAAGGGCACACATGGACATTTGTAGCAATTTGTCTCCTCTCGCTCGTTCTCCCCTCCGGTGCGAGTTTATCTCCTGGTGGAGGGCCTCTTCCGCTTGGAGAGTGGCAACTGTATAACACCCCTCGCCTGTTTTCAAAACAAAGACGTGAGCTCGAGCATTTTTGAAAATCATCTCCTTGTTTTCATTTTCAGTAAGTTAGAGCGGGTCAGCTTGGGGGGGTAGAGGGAACTCTGCATAGTGATGTTTAAGTAACTGTGGTATGTTTTAGGAAAATTATGGCAGATTTGCAGTATTGCCTCATAAATAATTTTATTAACCCTGTGAAGGTTCCTCAGTTTGACTGAATGAAAAATTATACACTTTCTTTCTGACTGTGGAACCCAAACGGAGATGTTTGGAAGAATATTCACGTCGCTTTTTTCTGTACTTTCTGTCAAGTTTGAAAAAGCCCTACAAAATTAGTCCAAAGAACTATAATACAAGTCTTCTGAAATCATTCAATAACTTTGTGTAAGGAAAAGACTGAATTCCAAAGGCTCATCATAAAATCATTTCGTTCCAAACTTGTATGACTTACTTTTTCTATGGAACACAAGAAAAGCATTTCTTGATGTCTTTGTTTTTTGGGTTTTGAACCCTGTTGACTTTCATTGTGTGGACAAACGTCCCTCAAAATATCTTCTTTTGCATTCTGCAGAAGAAAGAAAGTCATACAGCTTTGGAACGCCATGAAGGTGAGTGAGTTTTGGTTGAGCTGTTCCTTGAGTCAGTCACAATGTCAAAAATCAAGATTGCGGCCCAGTGCACATATACACACACTTGTTCGATTGTACAGACCTATGAGCAAAGATTTCCCCAGTGCAGTTCAATAAACAATTTATGAGTCCCTGCACCCCACTAAACTCGGTCGGTATCGAAAACCACTTCACTCATGAGCCGGCAAATAAGCAAATACCACCTCCCCCTCGTTCTCGTTCTCTCTTTTGCTTTGCAAATGAGTTTCTCGCTCTCCAGCGGCCAGAGTCATCTGTAGGTGCTCTGTGGCCCCCAAACCCTGAAATCTTACAGCTTTGAGGCAAACTGTTTGTTTTTACTGTTTTTGTTTTTTTTAGTACACGTTTATTTTTTCCGATTTTTCAGGAGAGGAAATGAACGATGTATGTTCACGCTGGGAAAGCCATGCATGCCTAATGTTAGCAGAGTTGACTGAATAATTTTCCCCTCCTCTTCTACATTTGATAACGTTTATGTTTTCTGTAGGTCTGTACCAGGATTTACTGTACATGCTACAAGCTGGAGAGCTTAAGCCTGACTTTCCGAACCCGCGCCCTGAATCCTTCGCACTAACCCATTGAGCATGTGGAACAAATTGTCTCAAATGGGGTATTTTCTTCCTCATGAGGTAGTGACAGTTGATCTAAAATGTTGCGTTTTTTTCCAGGGGCTATAATGGCTTCCCCTTGTAGCGTCTCAGGCTCCGGCCGCCTTCTCCATGTTGACTGCTGCCTTCTGTGGGGCAGAGTGAAAAACTGAGAGGTTGTTGAGTACAAGGTGTCTAAGAGCTGCTCAGAGATTGTTTGTTCAACATTTTTATTTAACCTCTGACTAAGTGGCTTGTTAACAGGTAAAGATCGAGTCGTGCCTACACAAGAAATCGAGGCAACCAGAGGCATCATGCCTTGTGGGTATAATGTTGATGTCTGTTTTCTGTGTTTTCTCATGTCATGACTTTGTTTCTTCTGTTGAGCACAGGAGAAGATGTTTTGAAGAATGTTTCAGTTGTTTTTGTTCATATAATTAAAGTCCGTGGGGTCCAAAAGAACATTGAACCCCTTTGACTTTCAAAAGCATTTAAATTTAAAGTTCACCCAAAAATGTCATTCTTATGTTGAACACACACACAAAAAAAAAAGAAAGAAAAAGAACCAAACAGTTGTTGGTCCCCATTGACTTCCATAGTAGGGAAAGAAATACTATGGAAATCAATGGGGACCATCAACTGTTTGATTGCCAGCATTCTTCAAAATATCTTCTTTTGTGTTTAACAGAAGAAAGAAACTCTTACAGGTTAGGAACGACATGAGGAATGACAATACTTTTTATTTTTGGATGAACTTTCTCTTTAAAAAAATCTGTTGTTCCACCTAGTAATGCACGACATACAGGTTTAGAATGTCATGAGGTTGCATATTTGATGACACAATTTTAATTTTAGTGTGGGCTATCCCTTTAAGACACTAATTCTTACCTAGGCCACTTGTGTTGACATAATTCCGACCCAAACATGCGCAACGGCTGGTTTATCTGGCCCATTGAAATCCACAGCCGCCCGGTGGTTGGTTAACATTATGATTATTACTGTAACAGAGGGGAGGATAGGAGAGAAAAATTGGGAGTGCGGGAGGTGGAGGGAAGAGGGTGAGAAAACCAAACAGAAGGAGCCCAACCATCACATTCTGGTCAGGGAGCAGCCGGGAAACAAGCCGAAGAATCCAGAAGGGCAGGGTGTGGGTCTGCTTTCGTTCGAACGTAATGTCTTATTGATTCATTTCAGCGCTGTGTGGTGGTGGAGTCAGTTGTGATGTTGGGCTTGCCAAAAGTAATCATGTGCGTTTTTTCCTTACTGCTGCCATAGATGTTGATTCAAATTAGCTTTCTTTTAATGAAAAATGTGAATGATGTCTGGTAAGACTTCACTGCATTGAGCCCAACTCATTTGCAGAGATATTTCACCCAAAAATGACATTCATTTTATCATTGACACAACCTCATGTTCCAAATGTCAATTTCTAAAGTAAAACTAAACAAAATGAGAAGTTGTGAAGAATGTTCATGCTGCTCTTTTGCATAAATTGGAAGCAGTATTGTGACCACTCCAAACACCATAGCAATCACATAAAAAACAAAAATCACTCTGAATAGAGGTGGTCAAGCTCCAAAAAAGCAAGTAGCTTAAAAGTGATCCAAACAACTTGTGTTAAATTCTAAGCCTTACATAAGCTTTGTGTGAGTAGGAGACCAAAAAGTAACTGAAAAGTAACTGGACTTGTCGTCTGTCCCCAAATGCCATTATCTTTTGCGTATATTCAGCTGGTTCTCTTCATACAAAAGTGTGAATAGCCTTTATAAGCACAGCAGGGTAAATGATGACTGTTTTAATTTTGGTGAATTAAAACCATAAACTAAAGAAAAAAAGGTCTTCAAAATAAGATCTAAGAAAGCATTTTTTGCACAAATGGTCCGGTGAGTATTTGTAAATGTTGCATCCTGGATTCAAACTCATGCTGCCCACATGAGCACCACAGCTTAATGTGTCAAAGCATGTACGCTCAGCCTCGTCTCCTACAAATTAGTAATCTAATCTAAGAGGTGCGCAGACACAGAAACCTTGGGGCGCTTGTTAAATCTGTGTAATGGTTTGAGCATGTGGAGGCTTGAATCTGTATCAAGCAGGGAGGTGAGTGTGCATATGTTGTTTATATTTGAGAGAAGCTGGTGTTTTGTTCTCTATTCTCTACATCTCGGCTCTTCTCTCACTGTCTCTGTTATTGCTTTTTCACACCCTTCTCCTCTGGGTTTAAAAGATCTCCGTCGCTCGCTTTCCCCCTCCTCGCTCAAATCCATTCCAGCTGAAACTTGCGTGAATACGCTGTGATCCCCCTCTCGCTGTAGGGCTTGAAGTAATACTCTGTCTATCAAAACGAATATCAGAATCACTTCTTATAATGCTTGTAATTGAATTCATACAGATAAAATTTCCACTCCTAACAGCATGGGCTGAGATGGAGATTTGATAATTCAAGCCCCAAGACTACCAGGCTTAGAGTCAGACTGGGCTCATTTCGAAATGATGGGGGAAAAGTGTGTCTGTACGTGTGTGTTTTGGCTGTAGTTTACAATGAGCTGTATCTTTTACAGACCCAGAACCGTATGAAGTTAATGGCTGATAACTATGAGGATGACCACCTCAATGCCTCCAATTCTGACCAGACCAATCACAAACCCTCTCCGGATCAGGTGAGCCAATCAGAGTACACCTTACAGAACCACTTTGTTAGTTCTTTATCCTTTATTTCTTCAATAGGTTTTACTGATCATACTTAGGGTTAGTGATTTAAACAAACCCTTAACCCTAAACTAAGAATATGAATTTTACCTTAAATTCTGTATTCCTAAGTGAATTGACTTCACACACATCACCATAAAATGGGTTAAAAAAAACTTACACAGAAATGTACACCTTTCTTTCTTTCTTTCTTTTTCTTTTTCTTTTTCTTTCTTTCTTACTCATTCTGCCATCCGATTTACACCTAAAGGCTATGTCCTGATTTATAAAAAAGCCATTATAACCAAACATAAACAACTTGTATTCCTAAGTGAATTGACTTCACACACATCACCATAAAATGGGTTAAAAAAAACTTACACAGAAATGTACACCTTTCTTTCTTTCTTTCTTTTTCTTTTTCTTTTTCTTTTTCTTTCTTTCTTACTCATTCTGCCATCCGATTTACACCTAAAGGCTATGTCCTGATTTATAAAAAAGCCATTATAACCAAACATAAACAACAGGAAATTACATATTTCATATCCAATAAGGCACAGCATCCTCAGCTCCAATTTGGGTATTATTTCATATTGGGTCACCAAAAAAAAAAAAGCTGATGCGCACACACATCCCTGAGTGTTTTTCTTGGAATAGTTCCGGCACACAGGATGATTCTGGAAGATTTAACTGGCTTTGTTCTTTGTTGCTTTTAAACGTTGAATTCCTTCGCCTTAAGCCTCTCTCCTCTGGATGGCTGTCCAACAGGAATTAGTTCATAAGGAGAGAAAGAGGAAAGAATTGACACGATAAAGGATGAATAGAGAGTGAAATTCAAAGAGAAAGGACAGCCTGTTGCATTCTTCTGTCCCAGCTCTCCCAGGAAGCACAAATCCTACTGGTTGTTATGACATGACTTGATTCGCTAAATGCAGTGTGTCATACCTGTCCTGGGACTCCTGGTGTAATCCAGTTCAAGTGCTACAATCCTAATTCACGTGCTGAAAGAAACCCATCAATCAGCAACACTCCACCCTCAACACATATCCCGGTATTCCCAACCATATATATGTGTGTATGTATGTTAGAGCTCATTGGAACTCCATCTACACACTCAGTCTCCCACGCACACACAGACATCTGCTATAAAGCTATCCCAGGGTCTCTCCCCCATCGCAAACCCCTTTCATTGTCTTTCTTGATTGCCAAGAAAACACTTAGCTCACATTTTCCTGTGATCTTCATTTCTCACTTACATATTTCCAACTCAAATAAGAACACCCTCACACATCAACACCTGAGCCCGCTCCAAACCTCCCCGATCGCACTGTTATCACCTAAACATGCCGACTGCAGAGCTGGGACCGACAGGGACCTCAGACGGCATTCATTGCAGGTATTTTCCACAGCCATCCAGGACAGACGGGGTAGAGGCCACGTGTGTTACTCATTTCAAGCTCATACTGCTATGGTTTCAATTCTTGTTGCAGCATAGCCACCCCCTTTTTTGGGCGAAGCCAGTTGATTTTAATGCTGTTTCACTTTGGTTCAATGGCTAACTAATCACCCTTAACCCTCTGCTGAGAGATGGAGAAATTAATGGGAACGTAGTGTCTTACTCTTATTTATGACATTCAGTTTTTTTTTCAGTCCATGGGAAAAACTCACTGCTGCTCCAGTGTTTGTCAAAGGGAAAATTAGTCACTTAACATGAAATTTCAGTGCAATAAATGACCTGCTCTCACCCACTAATAACTTCTTTCTTTAATCCCATGCTGCCTTGGATTAAACCTGCACTAATTTTCCACCAATAGGACGATGAGGAGGGCATTTGGGCATAGCCAATCACGTGCCCTCTCCCAGCCATTTTGTTCAGAAGGGTGAGAAATGTATAAATGGGGAATGATGCTCCTCTTCTGTATTTCATCGTGTGTTAACTGTCTTTGAGTGTGCTTATTATTTTCTTCTCCAACACTTTCCAGTTCATCCTTTCACTTCTTTCTTCTTTTGGTCTTTTTTTTCCCTCTCTCATTGTTCTCATGTCCTGTGATTTTCTTTCATTCTATCTGTTTCTTGTCTGCCTCATTTCAGCATATATATTGGTGCTGATTATTTAATCATTTTTAGATATGACTTGCAGATATCATTCACAGAACAGGTTGTCTGAATGTGAAGTGACGCATGTCAAACGTTTTTCCTTGCTTTTTTTTTCCTCCCACATTTTCCCATTATCCCCACAAAAATAGGTCGCAGGTCTGTTCTAATTTGGTCAGCAGGGAAGAATAATGTTAAATACAAACAATAAACTGAAAACAAAAATCAAATATAAAATAGAAATACCAGAAGCATTTGTATTTAGTAAATTTCATTTATTTATTTTATTTAACATTAAATGACATAAAAGGAAAAATAAAAGGCTGCAGAGGCTTTTGTATTTTTATTTTTGTATTTTTTATAATGTATGTATTAATTTTTTTAAATGTATTATTCCAAAAAAACATTTTTTTGACTATTAATTTTTCTTGGTGTTCAGGACCAAATCAGAAAAGACCTGTATGTTGTGTTTGCAAAATTTACATATTTGTCACGTCTATTATTGTAATTTTATTGTCTGGCAATTGCAGTTCTTTCTAATATAAATAAATTTAAATGCTTAATTTATAAGACCATTTTAGCTTTGTATGATAAACAATTTTGGTCCTATGATGGGTTGGCACTTCTAATATAAAATCTCGGTCCTAAAGCCAAACTAGCTAAGAAGTACTGGTTTGCATAGTGTTTTTATGAATAAATCACTGTAGCTTAATACTTTAAAATCACTTTTGATTTCGATAAATGACTCGAGCAGCTATTGAATTGACATATCCTTTCCCATCCCTTGTCGAACATCTGTTCGGGATTTCTGTCACGCAGACGGTTGAATCCTTCCCTCCACCTTTATTATTTTACACAGGCAGCCAAGGAACAAATTGACCCGTCTGCCTTTTGACTGCTCTGGTCTTTTCCCTCCAAAAAAACAACAACATTCTCATATTTGCTGCCACACTGACAGTTTTGATGGATGGTTTTGAGGAAACAGATTGACCGTAGAATACATATGAGCTGCACATGTTCAATCCATAGGACACATGCGCAACCGCTTGCGTTCTCCCATCAGAGCCGTTGCCCCATGCCCACGGTGATGCTAAATGCCATGTGGCGTTTTGACTGTAATTAATTAGCAGGTCGCTCCCCGTCGATGCAGCCCACAGATAACACATGTCCGTCGCATGAACAGTCGCACGCGGTAAAGTGCATATACTGCGAGTGCAATTAGGCGTAACGGAGTGCTGGAGAACAGAGTGGAATTGTGTGAGCTGTGGGCCGAGTGTCTCAGCAGTGTGAAGGGAGGGTTTTAATCCGAACAGCTGCCCACATACAGTGAGTCCTATTTCAGGCAACTAATGGGCCCCTTTCACTAAGGTTTTTGCTTCGTTCGCAGTTCTTAACGTCTGAGCCGCTACGATACATTTCGAGGAAGAATTCCGATCGTCCACTGCACCCACGGTGCCAAACTGTACATATAGCCGTGACATTAAAGTTGCTCTTTGTGTATCATATGACCATGTAAAACTTGTAATGGCATTTAGCAGGGGAGATCAAGACCCCAAGGCCCCTGAATGTATTAAGGCTCACATAAAGGGCAGCCGTGTTCTCCGAAGCGTGTTCTCGGGGCAAGGAACTGCAGTCGTACGTACAAGCGCAAGATTAGAGAGGGTAATAATCTCAACATGACTCCGATCTCCTTCATGTTGAATTGTGGGTGGTCGAGGATTATTTAATTGCTCGCCGTTTGGCACGATAACCCACCGCAACCCTGGAATCGGTTTCGGCTATGATGAAACACAGTCTGTTTTAATCTGACTGTGTGGTGCATCGCTAGGTGTGTATTTACAGATGCTCTCTGGCCCTTGACTCTGTTTTGTGTTTTTGTTCTTTTAGGGCTTTGCATTTTCTCCTGCGGCTTTGTGGATAATTGATGCATGTCTGCTTTTGTTGTCCTCTTCCATCAATCTAGTGTCACTGTGTGATGATGTGTTTGGTTTTTCAGAGTTCTGGAAATTAACACCCATGAGTGAGGGAGCTTGAAACTTTCAGAGTTCTTCCTGTTTCACTAACAGAATATTTGTAAGCTCTGCCTTCAGGTATTGTAAATGTCAAGACGGACTTAGCTTCAAATGTCAGGAGGACTGACAGAGCAGTAGTCCAGACCTTTTGAAGTAACTTGTCTTCTTGTCTGTTTGTCCTCTTGAATTGATTTTGGAAAGATTGCTTGTCAGTCTGAGCCTGGATGTCTGAAGGAAGTGGGGGAAACGTGATGGCCACCACAAAATTGACTGTATCATAGGGCTGAAACGATTCCTCGAGTAACTCGAATACAAAAAATGATCAAGGCTTCGTTTAGTCCATTTACTGTAACTACACACGGAACACTGTGTTTCCCCATGGATCATTATTACTGACGCACAACCCGATATATGATGGCTAGTTATGATGTCCCTAAGTTAGCTATGTTTTGTGAAAGACTAAGCACAATTCATGTTGATTGTCTTATTCTCTCTCTGTAACACACACAAACACACACTACCCATACAGTTATGCATAAAAATATCACAGAAAGAAAGTTAGTCAATATCACACGAAGAGTGCCAGTTTTCACCTCTAAAAATCAGCATGATTACAAATGTGATACTGATTTTATGCAACAGTTCGATAAACAAGAAGTTAACATTAAGATACTTACGTTTTAGACACCATATTGCCTATAGGGCTCTATTTTGCCAACAAAAATAATTCCAAACACAGTCACAGCACTGTTTGATGGCGTTTCGTTCCTGAATGAATCAACCGTTTAAATGATTCGGTTCAGTCACAATGACTCACTTATTAACAGTGACTTGCTACTGTCACCTACTGGCGGTTTTAATCTCAC